GGGCTTTCTCGCCCCGGAGCTCGCAGGTAGCAATCCGCTACCTCGACCTCCGGGGCGAGAAAGCCCCGTTCGTAAGTGCGGATCCGACATAAGTCGGATCCGCGTAAGTCGGGGACTGCCTGTAGTTAACATTTAACCTTAAGATAATGCTGTTATTACATAAATACATCACTATTTTTTTTAAATTAAACTAAAAAAAAAATCTGCCTTCCAAGTCAACTGTCTCCAGTTTTAGTTTCACTTAGTAAATACTGTAATCTTTCTGTCAGCCACACAAATTGGTAGCAGTAAGGCCCTGTCTCAAAAAATTATCTTTGTAAGTTAACCTCATCAATCACTCTCATCTCAAACCTCTATTTTTAGGGAAGATCATCTGAGGAGCAATGATGGTGTGATTTACTAGACAATTAGGTACATTATGAACCAAATTCTGCTTTCATTTACACTGAGGTACATCTGGAGTACACTTAAACCTCATTAATCTTGCAACCCTGGGAAACAGGGTACACCAGACTAAAGAATTTGCTAGGCCTGGGAGGGCACTGTGGGATATTTATGTGGTGCCTCACTAGCAGGGCTCCACTCCCACTGCCTGAAGCTATGGGAGCATCTGGGCAAAGCCTCAGGGGAAGCACATCACTATGTTGCTGTTGCCCCAGCTTTGGGGTAGGGGAAACAGCAGCACACAGAGCCGCTTCCTCCTCACCTATCAGGATCCGTACCACAGGTGTTCCCGGATTAGGGACACCCAGAGTACAGAGGTTCATGTGTACTGCCATTACATTTCAGAGCATCTACCCCACAGTCACACTCGTGTCACAAAATATAATTTCCCTTGCGTTTTCTGTTTTAAAGAAAGTTAACCACTGTCTTAGAGATGACTGTATTAAAGATTTTCTGAACAAGTGTTATTCATGTACACACAGCATACTCACTTTTTGCACCAGGGATCTTTTAGGAGATGTTCAGTGACAACAAAGATAATCTTTCGACTTCTTTTTATACTATTAATAGTGGCTTCAAATTTAGATATGCCTGCTTCAAAATCTCGTTCCTCTAAACAAAACCTAATTTGAGACTGATCGTTTTTTTCCAGAGGAATGAAGTTCTTGGACACCCACTTCCTGTCCCTTCTTGCATGAATAATGTAGGCATCATAATCAAATTCTTCCTGTTGCCTGTCTATTTCTGTAAAACCAAGTACTCGATTCACTGACACAGTCCAGTAAAAAGCTATCCTCCAGCCTTCAAAATGGATGAGAATGACAATGAAAATGAGGAGCATTATCAAAGTGGTGCTTATTATATACAATAGTTTAAAAGGGGCACTATCTTTGCAGGGTGAAATGTCAAAATGCATCACCAGAGTACTATGATACTTAGATGGGGTATTGCAAAGATAATGGGTATCTAATCCAGGTATGTTTGTTTGGGTCACATTAAGCCAATTAACAAACCAGGAGATGCTTTCACAGGTACAGTCAAATGGATTGGAATCCATCTCTAGTTCTTTCAGGTTCTTGAAAACTATCCCAAACACTTTTTCTTCAATAGATGTTATAAGATTTTTCTGAAGGATTAATGAATTCAGAGATTTCTGATCATCAAACAAAGATGCTGGAAGTAAGTTCAAATTATTTAATCCTAAATCCAGGATTCTTAATTGAAACAAACCCTTGAAAACTTGTACTGGAATCTCATCAAAACCATTAGACTTCAAATTAAGTACATGAAGGTTAAGAAGATCTTTTAAAAAAAGGACAGGACTTCCTGGATTGGCATGTTTCCAAAGTCGAGCCAAATTATTATGTTGCAAATCCAAAATTTCAAGTCTGTGAAGTCCATCAAACAAATCATCTTTTAGGTTAGCTAGATTGTTGTTGCTGATATCCAGGATGGTTAGATTCTGTAGAGGGTGAAAAGGTGACGGAGAGATGTCCAGACTGCTACAAGCTACCTTCCGTAGCATAAGTTTTCTAAGGCTTGGAACAAAAGCAAATGATTTGCTTGTCAAAGTCAACTGTTTATTGTAGGAAAGGTAGATAACCTCAATATTTTGCAGACCTTTAAACTCATGACCTGTGAGAACTTGGTTAATTTCATTGAGTCCCAAATCAAGAATTCTTAGGTGTCCCAACCAAGAAAATGCTCCACTTTCTATTTTTGTGATTCTACTTTTTGTAACATTAAGAAACTGCAGAGTAGAATTAGCAAGTGATGAAAACGTTTTATTAGTTATTATTTGTAAGCCATTGGTCCAGTTACATAGACTCAAATATTTCAGATTGTCCAAGCCTGTAAACATATTAGGAGTAATTTCTTGAAAACTATTACCATCTAGAAGAAGCTCCTCTAAATGGCTTAGCCAACGAAATGCAAAATCATCAATTTTTCTGACATGCGATCTTCTCAGATTCAAATACTTGACACTGGACAATCCATACAATGAATGAGAAGTCAAGTTATAAATCTTATTATCCTCTAGATTTAAATTTTCTAAGTTTGAAAGCCCGGCAAAGGACTCATTTTCTATTGTGAGCAAATAATTTTTGGAAAGGTTTAAAGATGTGAGATTTGTTGTTTGCAGTCCTTGGAAGGTTGACTTGTAAATACAAGAAAGCTGGACCTGGCTCAGCGAAAGATTCTGAATTCTTGTGCCTGATAATTCTAAACAAAGTTTCTCTGTGTCATTTTCACTAAGTTTCATGTTGTTCAGCACAAGGCCATACAGATTTCCAATTGCACGTAAACAGCCTGTGTGAAACTAGAAGGGAAAAAAAATGAATGATTTTGACATTTAAAGAAAATTCACTTTAAAAAGTTGTTTCACAAAGCCAAAACTTGAAAAGTTCTTCAAATCACTACCAGAGACAAGCAACACAATTTAAAATAACTTGTAGATTTTCAATAAATTCCACAGGACTTAACCAAATTGTATTTGAAAATGTGTTATATTTCTATAGTAATGGTTCAAAATACTGTAATAATGCCATTAAAATGTAATAATTTGTGTAAGTACTGAAAAGTAATTTAGGTTTTTTTCATTAAAGACATGAAAACTAATGGAATTCAGTGACTAATTCTTATGTAACTCTGAATCTTTACATGTAACCTGGAAATATATGTAACAAATCTCTGTGCCATGTATTTCCTGTGAGGTTTTATTTACTGATCTATTGTCAAGAAGTGGCAATATGACACTAAATCAAAGGGAACATGAATATACTTTGGCATGCAGGAAAAAAAGTATTTAGACCTACAATAAAAGCCAAGATGAACACAGCGACCTTTTTTTTGGTCACAGTGTGCGCTCATTAAACTAGAGTCCATACATTTGCTTCTACATAATGAATGACAGACACACATCAAAATATTTGTCCTCTTTCTTGATTTGTTAACAGAATCGATGAGTGATAGGCACAAGTATTCATTTGTGCCAGTAATTCAAATACATAAGCCAGAAAGAACTGTTTAACTTTCAGATCCTCCACTGTGTTTGGGGGAGGATGCAGGGGAACAGAAGCCAAAAAAAAAAAGAAAAAAAAAATCCAATTCTGCTTTACCTGGGAAATGAGTACATTTAACCTGAAAGTCGGTGAGGGTGCATCTACACTAGCCCCTTAGTTTGAACTAGGGAGGCTAATGAGGGCGACTGAAATTGCAAATGAAGTGCGGGATATTTAAATATCCCGCGCTTCATTAGCATGTTCCCAGGTGGTTGCCATTTTGGAAACTGACTAGCCCAGAATAACTGCCCGCATCTACACGCGGCAGAGAAACGGGAGTTCAAAGTAAACCCCTAACTCAAATTAGCTGTTACTCCTCGTGGAATGAGGTTTAACAGCTAATTTGAGTTAAGGGGTTTACTTCGAACTCCCATTTCTCTGCCGCGTGTAGATGCGGGCAGTTATTCTGGGCTAGTCAGCACATTTGCAATTTTGGTCACCCTCATTAGCCTCCCTAGTTCGAACTAGGGGGCTAGTGTAGACATACCCCGAGAGAGAAATTTAGAACTCTTGTAATATCATTTTTTAAATCACTTTAGAGCAGAAACATATTTTAATGCTGTAATGATTGTAGTGTGCATGTATAGTACATAAAATAGCAGGGAATAAACCTGAATAGCAGCAGCGCAGGGGAGCAGGTGGCTCCATGGGAGCCAGTGCTTGTGGGGAGCCGACTTAAAAGCCAGCTCCCCTGCAAGCACCAGCTTCCTCCTACTGCCTCCCCACCCCCTGTCTCTGATAACGAAGCAGCAGAGGGAAGGCCTTTACGTATATATCCATGAGGGCTAACCAATGAGCCCAAGCTCATCGGTTAACTGTTTAAACAAATACACCAACACATTCCTAGTCTACACTACATTTTAAAATCCAAAGCAGTAAGTTTTAGAGGCCTGGACTATAGACTCAAGTTCACAGGGCTCTACTTAAGGAACTAAAAGCAGCTGTGCAGAGGCTATGACTTGGACTAGATCAGTGGTTCCCAACCTATGGTCCGTGGACCCCTGGGGATTTGTGGCAGTACAGTAGGAGGTCCGTGTGGAGCCTCTTGCAGCCAGCACATCCTGCAACCCGCACTGCTTCCCACAGCTCAGGAAGCAGTTCAGGCTGAGGGACACGCAGGCTGCAGGCACAGCTATATTGTTTTGGGGGGGAGAGGGTCCATAAAATTATAACTGATTGTAAAGGGGTCTGTATCCTTGAAAAGGTTGGGAGCCACTGGACTACAGCCCAGGCTCTGAAGCCCTCCCTCACCCAGTCTTCTGACCCTGAACCCTTTGTCTAAAGGTAGCATAAGTCCATTTGTAGACCTGGATTCCGAGACTCACTGCTGCAAGTTTACAATGCAGTGTAGATGTAGTTTTGGTTACTAATTGTGAACCAGTCCTGTTCCCATTTATTTCAGAAGCCGAATTATGCCCTTCACTTCTACTCTTACTCCATTTACATAATAAACCAACTCACAATATCAAGTAAAAAAAGTAATACGTATTTTATTACAAGAGAACAGTATTATCTCTGACCAAATTAATACTATTTTTTTCAGTGATTGGCATATAGAAAACATATAGGTCGCATCATCAGCTAGGGTAAATCATTTGTAGCAGGTGAGGATGTGGTCTTGTATTTCTTACCTTGTTTAATGGATTTGATGATAAATCAAGCCTAGTTAAGGAAGTGTTGCTAAGAAAATCTAGTTCTTCTCTTTTTAACTCAGTGATTCGATTCTCTGACAGCACAAGCTCACGAAGGCTCTCCAACTGGGTTTGAGATCCTAATTTTGTTGAAAGCAAACGATTATGGGATAAATCCAGTATGCTCAAATTCTGAAGAAAATAAAAAACAGGTGAGAATACAGTCACAAGTTAGATACCTTTGGAACTACGTGAGCCAGTCTGACATTGAAAATTGGTCATATAACCAGAATCAGGCGAGCAATAAAACAGAAGGGGCTCGTCTACACTGGCCCCTTTTCCGGAAGGGGCATGTAAATTTCATGAGTCGTAGTAGGGAAATGCGCGGGGGATTTAAATATCCCCCGCGGCATTTAAATAAAAATGCCCGCTGCTTTTTTCCGGCTTTTAAAAAAGCCGGAAAAGAGCGTCTACACTGGCCCCGATCCTCCGGAAAAAGTGCCCTTTTCCGGAGGGTCTTATTCCTACTTCAAAGTAGGAATAAGAGCCTCCGGAAAAGGGCGCTTTTTCCGGAGGATCGGGGCCAGTGTAGACGCTCTTTTCCGGCTTTTTTAAAAGCCGGAAAAAAGCGGCGGACATTTTTATTTAAATGCCGCGGGGGATATTTAAATCCCCCACGCATTTCCCTACCGCTCTTTTCCGGCTTTTTTAAAAGCCGGAAAAAAGCGGCGGACATTTTTAATTAAATGCCGCGGGGGATATTTAAATCCCCCGCGCATTTCCCTACTACGACTCATGAAATTTACATGCCCCTTCCGGAAAAGGGGCCAGTGTAGACGTAGCCAAGTTGTAACATGGAGTAACACACACATTGGAAGGAAATAGTCTGTCTACATCAGATGTTACCTATAATGGGAATCCTTAAACTAGATCAATGGTGCGCAACGTGTGGCTCATGACCCCCTTGGCAGGAGAGCGGACTGGCACTTTAAATTAAGGGTTAAAGGGGCTGCAACAAAATGTTCCCAGCGGGGTTTTTTTTTTTTTTTTTTTTTGCGCTACAAAAATTTTCCCAGCCCCTCAAAAGGTTGAGCACCACTGATCTAGATGACCAATCTGGCAGCAGACTGCTGACCTCCAGTACCCTGTAGAAGAGAGCCCCTGGATATTACACAAAGGGAAAAGGAACAGTTACGTCCAGCCTCAATCACAAGGGGCTCATCTAGACTTCGCTAGAGTGTCGAAAGAGGATATGCAAATTCTGTGGGAATTTGCAAATCTTCTTCCAATTTCACTTTCAAAAGCAGCCATACTGAGTCAGACCAAAGGTCCATCCAGCCCAGGACCCTGTCAGCTGACAGTGGCCAATGCCAGGTGTCCCAGAGGGAGTGAACTGAATAGGTAATGATCAAGCCATCTCTCTCCTGCCATCCATCTCTGACCAACAGAGGCTAGGGATACCATTCCTTACCCATACTGGCTAATAGCCATTAATGGACTTAACTTCCCTTTAACTGCCCTTTTCTGATGTGCCACATCTTTTTTCTGTGAATGTTTATCCTCTGATCTGGCCCATACTTTATCCTTTTCTATCCTCTCCTCCTGACTAAAACCTAGAAAATCTCTATCAATAGACTCTCCTCTAAGAGACGTCTCTGTCCAATCCACGTGCTCCTCTGCATCAATCGGCTTTCCCCCATCTCTTAGTTTTAACAACTGCTCTGCGACCTTTTTAATGTTAAGTACCAGCATTCTGGATCCACCTGTCCCAGCTCTGAGCCATCCCAAACCCAGAGCCACTTCCTGCACGCCAAGCCCCTCATCCCAAACTCCACCCAAAAGCCCATACACACAAGTCCACAGCCATTACCTCCTCCTGCACCATACCCCAGCCCAAAGCCTGTACTCTCTTGTAACCAATCCCCAGACGTGTGCCCCTCCCAAACTTGGAGCCCCCTCTTGCATCCCAAACTGCTCATCTCTGGGACCACCTACAAGCCTGCACCCCCAACCCAGAGCCATCCCCTCAGTTCCTTGCTCCAGACCAAGTACCCCAACTACTTGCTCCAGCCTGGAGTCCCCTCCTGCATCTTGAGCCCAAACCCCTATTTAGAGCTCTCACGCTCTCCCACACCCTTTCCCCTGTGCAAGTCCAGTGAAATTGAGTGTGGGGGAGAGTGAGCCACTGAGGAAGGAGGAATGTAATGAGTGGGGATAGGGCCTCTGGGAAGGGCAGGGCTAGGGTGCCCAGTTTGGTGCCAATAGAAAGTTGGTGACTACCAGTTGCCACTGTATTTTAATATATTAAACATTGGCACTCAGTCAGAGGCCCAAAGATATTAACAAGGTCACAAGTTATCAGAATCAAAGTCTATTTCCTCAAATAAAAACTGGGAATTACAATACTTTGCCAACCTCACACTATTAATTCAGGCTAGACTGTCATCCTGTAGTGGCAATAGTCACAAAACCTATTTATCTAAATAACCACGTATCTCCACACTCTAGGGGTACGTCTAGACTACAGGCTTTTGTCGACAGAAGTTTTGTCGACAGATACTGTCGACAAAACTTCTGTCGACAAAGAGCGTCTACACTACATTCAGTTCTGTCGACAAAGCAAGCTGCTTTGTCGACATGGTAGTGTAGACGTAAAGGACAGTTTACATGCAATAACACCTTCTGTCGACAGAAACTCTGTCGACAGAAGGCGTTATGCCTCGTAAAATGAGGTTTACCAGCGTCGACAAAACTGCTGAGTTCTGTCGATGTTATGTCGACAGAACTCAGCGGTAGTGTAGACGCAGGTATAGTTTTGTCGACAAAAGTCCACTTTTGTCGACAAAACTCTGTAGTCTAGACACACACTAGGATAATCACCAAGTAGCACAGGGGGAATGCCAGGAACATAGCCAAAGGAAATTGTTCTGATGATTTCTCAATTGCTAAGAGAAAGCTTAGCTTGTCAGGGTAACCAAAACACTCCCTTGAGCTATTGTAGATCAGTTTACAGATGAATAAACTGTGGTTACTTTGATCTTTCACAACTACCCAAGGCAGAAGAATGCTGACAAATTCTAAGCAGATGACCATGTTGACTAGCAGCTATCAATTCATATTAACCCCAAAAGCTCATAGAAGCCTGAAAAAGGAAGGAAATTAAGCCCTACAGCTTGGTAAAGAAAGTCACAATTGTGCACATCTGGAATATGAACAGTTGACACACAAAACATAGTACAGGCAGTCCCCGGGTTACGTACAAGATAGGGACTGTAGGTTTGTTCTTAAGTTGAATTTGTACGTAAGTCGGGTACCCCAGGTGTCCCCGATTCAGGTTCTGCTGAAACTGACCAGCAGTTGACTACAGGAAGCCCGAGGCAGAGCTGCTTTGCCCCCGGCTTCCTGGAATCAGCCACTGATCAGTTTCAGCAGCAGCTGACTTGGGGACACCTGGGATAGAGCAACTGGGGTGCTGCCAGGTTGGTCTGGTAGCGCTGACCCTTGGCGCGGCGGGACCAACCCAGCAGCACCCCAGCTGCTCTGCCCCAGGCGTCCCCAAGAGCAGCTGGGGTGCTGCTGGGTTGGTCCCGCCGCGCCAAGGGTCAGCGCTACCAGACCAACCAAGCAGCACTCCAGCTGCTCTGCCCCAGGCGTCCCCAAGAGCAGCTGGGGTGCTGCTGGGTTGGTCCAGTAGTGCCGGACTAACCCGGCAGCCCCCCAGTTGCTCTACCCCAGGCTTCGGTGAGAAAAGCCTGGTCTGCTGGGAAAGGGGGGGCGCACTAGCTGCGCCCCCCCCCCCCAGAAGACCAGGGAGATGCGGAGCGGCTTTTCTCACCGTGGAGGACGAGGGCGGCGGGACCGCGGCGTGTCTCGACGGTCCCGCCACCCGCGTCCTCCACGGCGAGAAAAGCCTGGTTTGCTTGGGGGGAGGGTGCACTAGCTGCACCCCCCCCAGAAGACCAGGGAGACGCGGGCGGCGGGACCGCGGCGTGTCTCGACGGTCCCGCCACCCGCGTCCTCCGCGGCTTTGCTCCGCTTCTCCCTGGTCTGCTGGGGGACTTAAAAAAGTTTTACGCAAAAGGCACTTTTGCCCGAACAGGAGCAGCATAGTATTTCCACAAAAAGCACTGATTTCTTACAGTAGGAAGTCAGTGCTTTTGCGGAAATTCAAGCAGCCAGTGTAGACAGCTGGCAAGTTTTTCTGGAAAAGCGGCTGATTTTCCGGAAAAACTGACCAGTCTAGACACAGCCATGTCGTATTATTTCCTCTCATTTTTACAGGGCCTGATAGGGAATGATATATAACCTCAAGCTTTGCCTCTACCATTTCTCCAAACCTGCCCACTTCCCATCATGGACCTTAGACCCTATATACAGAGAGGTCTCAATACAGGAATAAAGGGATGTAAGGAAGGATGCCACAGAAGTCACAGAAACCCCACAGCACTGACCCAGTGGACCTTCTCTGTTCAATTTTTTTGGAAAATATAAGGGCTGAAGAAGTTAATACTAACAATAGGTTGTTTCTTCTCCAGAGAATAAAGAAGAGTATATTTAGTTTTGGAAGGCAAAACTATTGATCCATAAATGATGGTAAACATTGATTTCACTGTACATTCAAACAGATAGGAAATACTTCCATCAATTATAATAAAAATTTACAGATAGCCAAAGAAAGCAAAATGTTGTTTGAGTTTGATATTAGGCTATTTATCTTATATATTTTGACATATGAAGTTAACAAATTGTGTTTTAACAGTTATAATGTTGAACTTTTTGAATCTCAACATCTACTGTTAAATAATTGTCTGGACCCACCCATAATTTCCCATAGCTGCAAACATTCAAAATGATTAAAATAATAAAATATTAAACATCAATATTAGCTGACAAAATTGTTTCAATTGTAATTGTTACAATTGTAACAATTAAAAATAGAATTTTGTGCAAGCCTAAGTGTATTGGACCTTCACAGAGGGGACCCAGGACCTGCTCTGGAGATGCACTGGATTTTAATACAGTAATTTATTCTCTTCTCCTTTTCTCTTTTAAAGAATGAAGAGCAATATTTCTATATCTTACCTTCAGGTTTTTAAAAGGATTGTTTTTTATTTTTATTATGTTGTACCCTAAATTGAGCTCCATCAGGCTGGAACAGGAAGAAAAAACATTGTCAGTGAGCTCATACAACTGATTATGTTGAAGCTTCAAAACTTTTAACAAGGGCAGGATTTGACACAGTTCTGGATGCAATTTAGAGAGTGTGTTGGATCCTGCATTCAGGTAAGTAAGCTGGCTGTACTTTGTAAAATTTTCAGGTGGTAGTTTGTTCAGCTGGTTATGAGAAATGTCCAACGCTGTTATATTAATTGGGAGATCTGAAGGAATTTGCTTCAGCTTTAGATGACTGCAGTCCGCCACCTGATTTCTGATTTTACATTGGTTCTCAGTTGTTACACAGAGCCAGGAGCAGGTCAACAGGCTTAAAGACAAGCAGGCCCAACTGGAAAGGGTAGCTCTCATTGTTCTATCTACAAAAAGAAAAATGGTAAAATATGTACATTGACACTTACTGTAAAGTAAGCCAGGCTTATAATCAAGTACTTTCAACTATGCTAGATACACTACAAAACAAATCTGATAATTTTAAGTTACCTAAAACATTTACACTCCCCTCCCCATACAGTAGCACTTCTCTGTTAAAAAAAATTAAACTCAGTCACATCCCCAAAACTTTGTTTTTGCTGTGTCAAATCTAATTGGAAATGTTTTAACTTCTTTATTTCAGAGAAAACAGGGTGTTTTAAAAATACCAATTTAAACATGGCCCAAAATTAAAATCCATAAAATCAAGATGTTACAGAGTGGTATTAGCCCCAAATAAAGGAAGAAGCTATTGCACCTGATTCACCAGCTACCTTCTAAGTACACCTAGGTTCCATAAATAAGAGGTCCCAGAAAGGTCTGTCAGGACAGGTGAGAAGTTGAACTTTTTAGGGCCCCCGAAAGATGTTAGTTAGTGTCTCAAGCTAGGTGAGTAACAAGAGCGGTGAAATGTTTGTTCCTAAGTGAAAAATCCAGGATTGGGGAGAGTTTAAGGACAGAGAGACTTGCCTGTGACTTCTAAGGCAGAGGATGGAAGGCAGCGGAACAGCAGAGGGTTTTACCTGTTGGTGTCTCCATGCATTGAGAGCTGGGCCTAGATGACCAATAAGAGGGTATGGGGAAGTGAAGGATGCTGCTTGAGTGAGGATGAACTCTCATTCCAGAGAGGCTGAGGGGATTTCTCCTGAGAACAGTAGGGTTGTACTTTAGCTTGAAGGGATGGGGAGACTATTATGGTGACAGGAGAGGACTGAAGAAGATCTTGTGTGTGTGGTGGAGGATGCTGGAGTGTGCTATGAGGAGGGACTAGTGACTATAACATTTTCATAACTATATCACTGGGAGGGAGAAATGGCCTACATGTGGCTTTTGCTGTGGATTATTTGAACTATGTTTTAATAACGCTGCTCTCCTCACCCAGGCTATTAGTGTATCAATTACACTTGTTTGGTGTACTGGGGACTCTGAAGGAACAATGCTGAAGAAGGGGCACTTGTTGGCTGCGTCTAGACTGGCATGATTTTGCGGAAATACTTTTAACGGAAAAGTTTTTCCGTTAAAAGTATTTCCACAGAAAAGCATCTAGATTGGCACGGATGCTTTTGCGCAAAAAGTGCTTTTGGTCAAAAGCATCCGTGCCCAGTATAGACGCGCTTTTGCGCAAGAAAGCTCCAATGGCCATTTTAGCCATCGGGCTTTCTTGTGCAAAAAATTAAGGTGCCTGTCTACACTGGCCCTCTTGCGCAAGTATTCTTGCGCAAGAGGGCTTATCTCTGAGTGGGAGCATCAAAGTATTTGTGCAAGAAGCACTGAATTCTTACATTAGAATGTCAGTGCTCTTGTGCAAATTCAAGCGGCCAGTGTAGACGGCTGGCAAGTTTTTATGCAAAAGCTCTTGCTTTTGCGCAAAATCTTGCCAGTGTAGACGCACCCGTTCTGTTGCAACCTGATGCTGAAGGGTGTTTTGGGAGGGGTCACCCTGCCACATGGGGATTGTTAATAAAACCTAAACCAACTGAAATCTTTCAGCATCTTAAATATCACTCTTCAAACAGCTCTTTTTACAAAACAAGCACTTCCCCCATGGTCTTTGAAACGTCAACTTTAAAAATCCAGTAGTGAAACTGACTTAATTCTCTCGGTCCCATCTGAGAGAAATATAAAACACAAGTTAAAATGATGGGCATGTTGGATTGTTAACATTCTTCCATTTTTTATATTCTAATGTTTTAGTAAGGCAAGAGATTTATTACCAGCTTATGTCTTTTTTTTTAAACATGTTTGTTCAAACATCCCCTTTTGAAACTCAAACATTTCAGCATTGTACAAAGTGCACTGCACGGGAACTAGATAAGGAAGCTGCCAAGAAAGAGATGAAAGTGAAACTAAATAGAGAATGCCACAAAGGGAAAATACAACGCAGAAGTGGCAACTTTAATCTGTAAATAAAATTCTTCATTGGATTAATCTATGATGTTTCTAGCATCAGAGGTAAGGACATTTGTGGTCTTGCAAGTATATCAGACCAAATTTGCAATTAGGTACACCCATGTATCCATATTAATTTTAGGCTCCGATTCAGTTAGGTGCTTCAGCATGTACCTCACTTTAAACAGATTTATAGTCCCACTGGTTAGAGAATGCTCATGCACTTAGGCTATGTCTACAGTCATGACTGTCCTTCAGGCATATGCAACATACACAGCTGTGCAGGGCACCCAAAAACTAGGGACACCACCAGAACAGCAAGTAAGAGCAGGATGGCTCCCACACATCCAGTGCACACTGCAGGGTTCTTACACAGGGATCATATTAAAAAGCCGAGTGTACCAGTGTCATGTATTTTGCAGGAGGGAGAGGACGTGGGGGTGTCTGCAGGGAACTCTGACTCTCCACCTCTGTGAGGCAGGCTGGATAACTCAGTATTCTTTGCTGCCTCGTCTCTCTTTCTCTCCCATGCTGTGTATGAAGCTCTGTGTGTGTCAGAAATGGGGAGTAATGGGTCTTCTGGGGGCACCAGTATAATAATATTGCAAAGGTGCATAAATCCTAACGACAATCCTGTCTATACTTGCAGAGTTTTTTGCACTCTTGTTTCACTGGTTATAGTGAACCAGTGAAAGAAAAGTGCTGGTTTGTGTACTCACTTCCACAGGTGTCAGAGAGTGTTTACATTTCCAGCTCTTCCATTACTATCCCACAGTGCAGCTCTCTCCATTTTGATGATGGGTCTTGTGGAAATGGGTGGGTGATTATGGGCATCCTGGGTACCTGCACAGCCCCCTTTCTCCAAACACTGATTAGCTCCAGTAGCTCAGCATTGTTCCATGCAGGGGATCATTTGCTCAGTGGAGCAGGCATTGTTACCTGGCCAGATTACAGGCAGTCCCCGGGTTACGTGGATCCGACTTACGTCGAATCCCTACTTACGAACGGGGATTTTCTTGCCGCGGAGGACGCGGGCGGTGGGACCGCCCAGACGCACCGCGGTCCCACCGCCTACATCCTCCATGGCGAGAAAAGCTGCTCTGCGTCTCCCTGGTCTGCTGGGGTACCAGGGAGACCAGCAGACCAGGGAGATGCGGAGCAAAGCCACGGAGGACGCGGGCGGCGGGACCGTGGCGCATCTCAGCGGTCCCGCCGCCCGTGTCTCCCTGGTCTGCTGGGGGGTGCGCAGCTAGTGCCCTCCCCCCCCAGCAGACCAGGCTTTTCTCGCCGCGGAGGACGTGGGTGGCGGGACCGCCGAGACGCACCGCGGTCCCGCCACCCGCGTCCTCAGTGGCAAGAAAAGCCGCTCCGCGTCTCCCTGGTCTGCTGGGGGGGGGGGCGCAGCTAGTGTGCCCTCCCTCCCCAGCAGACCAGGCTTTTCTCGCCGACGGCTGGGTAGAGCAGCTGGGGGGCTGCCGGGTTGGTCCCACAGCACCGAGGTGCGGCGCTACTAGACCAACCCAGCAGCACCCTAGATGTTCTGCCCCAGGCATCCCCAAGAGCAGCTGGGGTGCTGCCGGGTTGGTCCCACCGCACCAAGGGTCGGCGCTACCAGACCAATCCAGCAGCACTCCAGCTGCTCTGCCCCAGGCGTGTCCGATTCAGCCGCTCCTGGTCAGTTTCAACAGCGGCTGAATCTGGACACCTGGGACAGAGCAGCTGGGGCGCTGCCGGGTTGGTCCCCGCAGCGCCGCACCTCGGCGCTGCGGGGACCAACCTGGCAGCACCCCAGCTGCTCTATCCCAGGTGTCCCCAAGTCAGCTGCTGCTGAAACTGATCAGTGGCTGATTCCAGGAAGCCGGGGGCAAAGCAGCTCTGCCTCGGGCTTCCTGTAGTCAGCCGCTGGTCAGTTTCAGCAGCAGCTGAATCGGGGACACCTGGGGTACCCGACTTACGTACAAATTCAACTTAAGAACAAACCTGCAGTCCCCATCTTGTACGTAACCCGGGGACTGCCTGTATATGTGCCAAGAAAACAGGAAGTAGAATTTCAAAATTCCTGGGGCTTTAAAAGGGAAGGAGTGGATATCTATTTACCTGGCATCAGAACAACAGAACTGCTTGCCAGTGTGATCACCTAAGCACTGAGGAATAGCCTAGGCTAAAATCTCTACACAGAAAAAAAAGATGTCTTCACTTGCACATTATTGCAAAAGTATCACCAGTAAAAGCTGTATGCCTATTGTGGAGGTGGTTTTCTTTTTGTGATACAACTTCTGAGTTTCTCAGCAAAAAGTCACAGGCAAGGGTAGATGCTCTAAAAAAATGACTTTGCCATTTTGAATGGCAAGTGCAGACATGCTGGGTACATGTGTGCCTACTGAGTAGGGATTGCTTAAAATACATAATTCTGTGTAGAATCAGTGGCTAAATGCAGTCATAGATAGACCTCACAGCAGAGTTTTGCCCATTTATTTTAAATAAATAGCTTTCAGTTTATTAGAATAGATATTCTGAAGTCAGAGATCTTTTTAATTTATTCTCTATACAACAGAATTGGTTAAATCTTTTTGAAAGAGTACCAGTAACGATCAGTTTCTGTCCAATATTCAATTAGCTCATTTGAAAAGATAAAATGAATTTGTTTAAACATGTTAGACAAAGTTTGATTTACAGCAGAAAGAACAAGTTTATTTCAAAAGGCAAATTAAGTTTCAGGTGTTCCCCTGCCAAATTGTTTTACAATAATATTATTTGAATTTTTTCTTTGTTTCTCTTACTTCTTTTCTTGAAATTAATTAAAAGTAGTATTGCTGGATCTCAAAGATCTTATTACAGGGCCTAATTCAATGGAATTCTTCCATATTTATAGTGCTATAACAGACAAGAATTTAACCCATTATGACTATTGGTTCAATTAATAATGCACTGATACAATAGATAAACAATTATGAGATTTTTGTATTATGAATTTTAAAATCCTACCATTTCCCATATTATCCACCTTGTGATATAGCTATACATCATATATATATAGTAGCCCAATGTCTGAGAGTCTGTAACGCTGAAATGCTGGCTGTTCCCTCTGGGCGGCCCGTGCTGAATGGGGAGTGCAGGACCCAAACGGCCGCTTGCGCTGCTTGCTCCCCCGCGGTGGCCCGGCTGAGCAGCGCAGAAGTCAGCCGAGTGCCATGGCGGGAGGGGAAGAGGGGCGGGGCGGTGATGTACATGGCCAGGGGGCGGGGCCCGGCCATGTATGTCACCACCGTGCCCCTGTTTGCCTCCCGCTGGTGGATTCG